ACCTCGAAGCGCTTACATATTGAACCACTGGGGGATGGATCAAGGAAACAACAAGATGTTTATAAGTAATCGATAAGACTGTAAGTTGTTTATAAGGGGAGGGGCGTGTTGTTATTGTCAAGAATGGCAATGAGCACTCGATCGAAGTACAACAATCAAAATACACCTCAAAGAACGTTCACTCTATACTTTGATGGCGGATCTGAGAAGAAACAGTAAAGGTTTGAGTGAGATATCAGTAGTTAGCGTGTTTCACGTTAACACGACCGCGCACTATTTCTGATTGCGTGCAAAATGAAAACGTATGCTAAACATTCCAATGTGGAATGAGATTGACTTCACTGTTGAAGTAAGCAGAGCCTGAATCTGTTCTCACATACGATTTCCTAATACTGAAAATTTTGATTTTCAACGGAAAAGAGAGTTCTTGCGATTTCTCTATCAGAGATCGCTTGCGGTTCTGATCTGGCATGATCAGAAGCTGTGAACATCTAGTCAAAACACAATTCGGCTCCAAAAATTCGAGGAAAATTTCTAAAAAATTGTAAAAAATATTAAGAAAATTCTCACTCAGAGTGTCATGACCAAAGCTCCCACCAGGGATCAAATTTGACAAAAATCAAAGGAACACGGAAACATTAGGTCTCCTCAAGAGAGCACCATCCCGTATTCCAAAATTAATGCTCAAAGAGCAGTATGCGCTAGAACAATTGCGTATACGTGAGACTCATCACTGTCTCAAGTGCAAACGAACTTTCACACGTATCGTGCACTTAGTGCGCCGTACATCGTACGACTCGTACCATGTGCATCAGCACTTCGCTTCGGGACCAATTTAGAATTCAAAAGTTCGAAAATATATTTAAAAAATTATCTTTCGCATTGTTTAATCAGTTTTATGCTTTTCTTATTTAATTATAAGTTTGTGTCTGTTGTGAATATATTGATTCGAATGTAAAGTAATGAATAAATTATATTTTTGACGAGCATTTCATTAAATAAGTTAAAAGATACAAGCTTGATGAACAAAAGCAACATCGATGAGATGAGAAGAGCTTGCATAACCGAGTATGGGAGACCAAAAGATTAACAAGACATATACATGATTATCGTTGAACAAAAGCCGATTATCCAAATATAGAAAGATGGTTTGAGTTGATAAAACTGTGGGTGAATACTACTGCAGTACCTAAGTATGAATGAGATCACAATGATATTCTGGTATAAACAGAACAGATAATTCGAGGCTACATACATTCATCTCTTAACAAACGATTCCTGAGTCCGTTTGTGGATTTGTGGAATTACTGAAACAACACATTTGAATGAATATGATGATAGAGAAACTGTCTGAGAAAGCAAGATAGGCTAGTGTCTAATGGAGCAGCTATGCCATAGTTGCCTCGACAGATTCTACATAAGCCACATAAGCACCTACCAATTAACCTTTGAGGTGTTGTCATTCTCTTCTGATAGCAGATTCGACAGTTTCACGTTCGCTAAAATGAGTTTTTCAAGAAAATTCATAAGACTCATAACATACATCCACCAAGTATCATTTCATCTGGAGCATATATGACATCTTGAGCATGGTTTTCAGGCAGCTTGTACTGAGAAGCGTACATCGATACTGTTGATCGCGTTAAGCTATCTCGATCTGTCGATCTTTCCATATCGCCTTGAAGTATGGGTGGTAATATCTATTGAAAGCTTTTGAATCTTACTGCAAGAAGATTGAGAAAGCCGAGCATCTACAGGAATCCCTGATGGAGGACGATGTGAGCTATTACTTGATCTTGAACGGAAGTTCACCCTACCACTGAAACGAGGTTTATGATGAAACACTGGAAGATGGTTCAGCTTACGGAGTTGTATTGTATTTGATGAAGCTGGTATCCATATTGACAGTATCTTCACCATTCTCATATTTGTAGACCATAACATCGATGCTCTTCCTCATTTCATCTTTTTCGACTTCAACCATGAGCTGTTGACGTTTCAATTCTTCATTTTGATGGACTAACATTCTGAAAAAGAGACAAAAAATCTTTTTTTTCAGTTCACGAATGTGACGAAGGGAGTATAGGGTCATCACAAGCAAAAATTCAACGATGACACAGGACCAGATGAACGAGATTTCGAAGATAAAATCAGACAAAGCTGGCTTATGACCAAACCGAAGATATTGCGATCACACAAATCAGGAAGAGGACATCAAACCAACTTACTTTTCATAATTGATTTTCTGATCCAATGACTGTTTGAGCTCTGCAACTTTATGCTTCAACTTTGTTATTTCTAAATCTTTCAATGGAATCTCTTCCACACGCAATGCTATCTGAAGAGGTTCATTTGTGTTTCATATAATGACTCAACAACACATACTTGTTGATACTTCTGCCTCAGCTCTTTCATTTCGCTACTTTTCAATTCTAATGCTGTTTGCAAAGAGTTGATCTCTTTCGTTAGCATCTTAAATAAGCAATGACATTGTTGTTTAGCATGAAGTCTATACCTGGTTACGCTGATCACTATCATTAGCTAATGCTGTTTGCAAAGCAACTTTATCTGCTTTCAATTGAACAGCTATTTTTTCTGATTCAGCAATCTTCTCATCCAATGCTCCAATGACCTTTTGATGACGACGACTCATAGCTTCAACTTCAGCCTCTTGTCGACTCTTTTCATCTTCGATTGTACGATCAAACTCCTTGGCTTTCTCAGCCAACTGGAACAACAAACATTAGTATAAGTAAATGACTATGCTTATAGTTATGGTATAGTTAAGAAAATAAAAAAGATCCAACCTGAACTTCAAATCGTTCTTTCATGCGCGCCACAGTTTCATCATGCGATCGTGTGACTGTAAAAATGATAACCATAATAGGAATAAAGGCAGATGTTAGAATGACTAGATTGAGGGGGAACACCTTCCTAACTTCACAGTCAGTCATTAGAGCCATAGAGGCTAGAACAATGGTTGATGCTATCATAGACACAGGAATGAGCCACATCTTTGGCAGTTGATGAGAGGAGAAGCGTAGCTCTTCTTTCTTCGACATAGCAGATCAGTTGGCTTCTTTTCAAAAAGCACTTAGGAGGAGCGAAAAATTTAGTGATGAATAATTTTAGGAAAATCTATGAATAGATCTATCGACTGGTTCAAAACCAAATATAGAAATCGAATATGTTCTGATCGCCGCCGAACTATCCATTTCTAGCACGCCTACTCTTCCTCAACTCATGCGTTTACAGCGTTTCCTTAGCCTAGTTCTCTCTTCTCTCTGATTTTATTTCTCTCTTTCTCCGTCATCTATCAACACTTCTCGCTTGAGGTAAGATTTAAGATAGATAAGATGACCGGACGTTTGCCTTTTATGAATTCAACCCTAAAAGCTTTCGGAGAATCTTTCGCCCTCCTATTTCACAAAATATTTCTCATGAACATCGCGGGGCACTTGGGTCAACTGTATTGGATCATCAAGGTTCCAGAAAAAAAAAACAACAAAGCAGGATTTACCTTGCTCTGCATGGTTCCTTGAGCGTTCCACGTCATCTGAATGTAACTTCTCGACGGCACATAATCGATTCTTTAGCTCTTTAGAAGAGATTGTCTGAGATTCTGAAAAGCAAAAAAAATACTTTTAATACTTAAAGTCATTTTCAGACATTTCATTATTTGAACGAATGATTCATGATGTGTTCGAAAGTCTTTTTTCGATTTAAATGCCCATAAAAGGCTAAAACCTTTTCAAAAAGTGAATAAACTTTGATACAAACCTAAATTAGATGCAAGCTTGTCTGTTTCAAGCTTCATATGCTGTATCACCAAGGCCAGAACTTCAACAGCTTGAACTGCTTGTTTGAGGCGTTCCAACTTTTCGTCTTCGCCTGAATCATATGCATATAGATAAGAATATGAGAATAGGTTGCTCACTTAGCGACTTGGCTTTAGTGCTAGCAGCATTTCGACTTGTGCTTGGACCTGAACTTGTTGTTGATGCTGTTCGAAGCTTTCCACCAGCAAACGACGATGTTGGATATTGAAGAGGTTGTTTCGAAGCTGAAACTTTGACATCTTATTATTATTGTAAGCTATGAAGTCAGTAATGAAAACATTCAGCTGTCGCTAACCCCATTGAATGGGATCGCTCATGACAGCATATGCCTCGGAAGCTTGACAAAGTTGAAGTGTTAACCTGACCTTTAGTTGGCACTGAAGCAACTGCGGCAGCTTTTGCAGGTTCAGCGGCTGTCTTAGTTGAAGCCTTTGCTGCTACCGTTTTTGGTTTTTCCTCTTTCTCCTTTCGCTCTTCAATATGCTCGTTGTACAATCGTATTCAAAATGAAAAACTGCTTACCTTTCGGTGGTGGAGGGACATATAAAGGTTTCCGTTCGCGCTTTACAGGTTCCGGCTTCGAAGTAGTTGAAGCCAAAGATGTATTACTAGCTTTAAGTGGTTGTTTAACAAGACGAGGTGTGGATTGCGTTTCGGCAGGCATTTTGGCTGAAATAAAGTAATATCAATATCACAATATATAAGTCGATGAGAAATATGCAGCTGCTTGCTATGAAATTAAGTTTGAAAATGAAATGTAGCTGCAGGTAGTATGCTCACGTGGCAGTCAATATCTACATATGGTATGCTAATGGCAATCGGATAGATATGATGAACGAGGGTGCTAGTTGGTGGTTATGATGTGGGTGAGATTGTGAGACACAAAGATGTTTAGATGAAAGAAATGAAAAAACCAAAGTCATAACCAGTTTTGGTATTGTTTTTGAAATGATGCAACACCATTTGAATGACTGTAATAAAAAACAATTTTTGCATATTTGGATACTATTATTGAGTGATGTGTACTCTCTCTGTAGCTTTCTCTCTCTCTATCGAGATCAATATGAGATGAAGAGAAGTCCAAAGACTTGAGTTGGATTGATTGTTTCAAGCATATTTGAGATGCATTGGAAGATGAAGCTTAAGCTTTTCACAAACGAACAACTAAAGTAGGAAATAAGTCTCATCACGAGAAGCTCACGAAATGGAATAACGAATGATGAGAGATAAGATTCTTAAAATAAATTTTTTTTTTGTTGCAAACTGATCGCTCGAAATGTTTTCTTCAAAACGACCATGAACTTCGTATAGAGCTATTGTTATGACAAATCGTTTTGTTTCAAAGTTACTTGTGAGTTAGAGGGGTGGGCGAATGTTAAACAATGAATACCTTTTGGTTCGTTCTCCTTCTGCTTCGGTGCAGGTGGAGGTGGAGCTAGACTAACACGTGGCTTAGCTTCCTTCTTTGGCTTATTTTTATCTGCTTCTATGGAAGCCTTAAAGACAAGTACGTTTAGATTGAGATATATTCTCTCTTGACAATTACCTTCAACTGTTCCATCATCAGCTGATGCTTCGATGGCGCTTTAGGTTTCACTGGGAACTTGGGAGCAGCAGGAGCGGCTGGAGCAGCAGGTGGAGGAGCAGCTTCTCGTTTAGTAGCCTAATAAAAGGTTATGTTCAAAATGATATACTATAATGAGAAGCAGCTCATAATCAGTTGGACATGCAAAACATTCTTTGTTCTTTCTTTCGTTGAAAGAGTGGGGAGGTGTGAAGTGCAAACAGGTCATTGAAGCTTTTCAACCATCATCAACACTATTACGAATTTCTGTTTTAAAAAAAAAACCTTTGGCGGTGCTGTTGCTGTTTCTCCCTTTTTGTCCATCGTTGACGCTTTCCCTTTTTTAGCTTCTGTTTGTGATTTTGCACTATCTGCCTTTGACGACGTCTGGAAGTTCATTTTTGTAATTTTTCTTCAAATTGTATGGGAAGGGAGGGTGAGGGGGAGGAGAGAGAAAAGAGAGAGAAAAACAGAAATATATTTTTTTTTAAAAATTGGAGAAAGCTGAAAACACCGTGAAAAGCCATTCAAAGAAACAACGAGCAGTTGTAGCTTTATCTCCCTCGAGATTTCATTTAGATGACTGAGAAAGGAAAAAAAAAGACAAAAAATCACAAATTTAAGAAAAACGAAAAATACACAGCCGAAAAGTGTTTTAATCAATCTGATGATGAGAGAAGAAGCTCATGTTGGAAGTCAAATAAAGATTTTTATGGAGCATTTGATAAAAGAAGACGTATATATGCTAATGATTACTCTGTTTACACATAATTAATAATGTTAATTATAATAAAACCAAATAGGAAGCTAGGCGATAGAGAGCGGTTGGAGAGAGGAGAGGTAGAGATGGGGTAGAGATGGAAAAAGCTGCAACTGTAAACGTTTTCTGCGAATAATACGAGGACAGTAATGGTGAGTATTGAAAAGAGCATAACACAAGGGACAAAGAGAGACACTTTGAGAGAGAGACTAGTCCATAACAGACAGATCATCAGAAAAGTTTAACTGTCAAGCGAGAGAGGTAGGGAGAAGCTGGCAGTTTTATCAAAAAACGAGGAAAGTTCGGTTGGATCAGAGTTGAAAAGAAGAACATGTGCATTTAGCAGAGTATTATGTCAAATGGCTAAGAATCTGAGCGCTAAATGACATTGTACAAATATTGAAATATGATATGCAAATTGACTACCAGGAGAGGGGGAGAGGAAAGGAGAGAAGAACTTCATCAGGTAACCGAATAATTCTCAGTTAAACTGAGAATGGATGATAGAGGAAAGAGATGGAAAAGCAATGGGAGTGGGAAAGAGTGTTCGATTGGTAAGGACTTACCGATGATGGAGATTTTGCTGGTTTTTCCTGACAGTCGCTGTTGGATGTCGACGACCTGGATGTTGTTAACGCTTCAAAAGATAAAAATGAGAAATTCGAGGTGAACGATTGTCCAAACCAGTTGATGATTGAGGAGAAGCCGCTGGCTCACTTTGAGGAAGATTGGAAACCTCAATGTCTAGCTTTTGATGAGCTGATGATGATGGCGGTATTGGTCGTCTTAATTCAACAATTGGCGTCAGAAGATCATCTTCATCTTCATCTTCAACGACTGGAAGATGTTCAACTCCAATTTTCGATTTTTCAACCACAAATGATTCACCAACTGGAAGAGTTTGATGAGACAAATTGAAAACCACTGGAGACTTACGAATTCGCTGAGTTTCTCGTTTGAGTTCTTCTTCATCGATGATGACCAAATCAGATGGAGCTTTGATGTTCATCAAATCTTCTTCTTGATCATAATGGCCGCGCTAGAGAATATGGTTGATAGTCATGTTTTGAGATATTTCAGAGCTTACCCCTGGTGGGATGATGTAAGTTGCTCCAGAAGCTTGCATGTCTGCATCTCCCCAAGAAGCTTGGGAAAACTTAAAGAGAAATGATAATTGGATAACAATCAAATTATATTATTAATTACCAATGAATCATCCATATTAATAGAGGAACTTTCGAAGGATGATATTAGACTAGATGGATCACACGGATGCTCCGGTCGGAAGATGTTCGTCAGTTGGAGACTGGGCAATGCTGATCGTGATAGACGCTGAAAGGAACACAAAGATTATAAAGTAAGAAGAAATGCTTGTTTTGATATATTAGATTCTATAAAGCTGTTGAAGCTCATGTTTCCTAGAAAACGAATGTGAATGAGAATGAAGAAGAGTGAAGGATAGAGATGCATCTTCATACATTCAATGCTGGACAGTTCAATTCTGATGGATTAGAGATAACAAGAAAAAAAGAATTGTTGTCTTTATTGGCCTCATCAACAGGTGCTTTTGATTGAAGTTGAGAGATAACAGATGAAGCTTATGACCAGCCTCATTTTCTGAACCAATGCAAGAGCCAAGTTGGTGTGGAAGTTTGCGGCGAATGAACTTGCACAAGCTTATATTGCTCTTTGGGAGGAAATAGTTTTACGAAATCATATCCAAAGCGTTCGGAAAGGATTTTTTCTTTGTTTCTTGTCAAAAATAAAAAAATAAAAAAGAGCTCTTGAAGAAGTGAAAAGCAGAGGTTGGTAAGGGATGTGATAAGCTTCAACTCCGTGGGGGATAATGATTGAAAGAGAATGAGAGAGAGAGAGTGAGGAATATAGAGAAAATGAGAAGAGTGATGAGAGATCATTTGTGAAAAAGATAGGTTGAAGCTGTAAAAATGCCGTGATGGGAGAGAAAAAGATATTTTTTGAATGAAATTAACAAAATGACATACATGAGAAGGATGGAGGAGAGGTGGAGAAGCGCATGTTCATCTACATCATCTACATCATCCTCATCATCTTCTTCATGACATTATTTGAACAAAAGATTTTATTTGTTAAATATTAAGATTTAACCTTTCTCATCTTCAGGTCTTCAACAAACTTTTCTAGACAAATCCTATTTATAACAAATAGAAATTAGCATAAAGAGCTTGATGGGGTGATGAACACTACGAAAGACGGATGAGCAGAGTAGAAGAAGAAGATGAACAAGAAACGAGAAGAAGAACGAGAAGAAGAAGATGAAGAAGAAGGTGTTCGCGTGTACAAACTGTGGATATGACAAATTTTCATTTTTAAGATCAAGCCGACATGCTGAGCGGTCGTTCACAAAAACGAAAAATCAATGCAAAAAGGTAAATCTCCAGCTGTTTAATTTGTTTTTTTTTCTTTTTATTTGTGAAGAAAAAGAAAAAACAAATAAATAGAAGAAGTGAATGGATTAGATAAGGTTGAAAGATAACAAATGGGAAGAGGAAAGGGGCAACGCCAAAAGCTGTTTCTCACCTCAGGGACTTGTTGTTGGTGTTGAGACATGGACATCATCGGCACATCATCTGGTTCATCTAACTCTACCTACAATAAACATTATGACATCATCGTAGTTAGTATAGATGAATGGTTTACTTTGTACATTGGAGCAAAGATGCCCCGCTCTGGCGGACATTTGAAATATGCAACACCCTGATAAGTTCCATTGTGCTTTCCTCCAATAGTCGAATCTAATTCTATTCCACAGAATAAACCGTCTTTGCCATGTATAGTACCGACATAACGTAAAATTCCTTTAAGAATAATATATTATATATATATATAGTTAGCATAGTATCCATCTACCTGGCCCTACACCGGCTACTTTGACGAAACTGCCGACATCAGCTGCGGTCACAACAGCTTTAGAACTAGTTGCCTATAAAGATGATAAGTAAATGAAGAGAATTAGAGAAAGAGAGTAATATACCTTGGAAAGTAGCGATTTGTTCATTATAGTTCAGTAACTCATTGTATAATCTGTAAAATAAAGAAATATATTCGATAAAAAATGATAAAAGGATGAAAAAGAGAAATCAATAGGGGTTGTGTGAAAGAAACATCTCAATAGCACTTAATTAGCAATGATTGCCGAATGAAAACAAAAATTCGTTGGAAGAAGACGTTAATAAAACAAAAAAAAATTTCAGAAAACTGGTTGAAATGGGATATATCAAGTTGAGAAATGCATGAGCGGCGAACGTTTTTCAAAAGAAAGTTGTTAAGAGAATTGGACTCTGATATACTCTTGTAAGGCTTTACTATTGTATAAATGAGTTATTGAAAAGAACTATAAAAATTGAGGGAAAGGAGATGAACATAAAGAGAGAGAGAGAGAGGTTATGAGAGAGAGAGAGGGATAGAGAGAGAGAGAGCATGTTTATATGTATGCGTAAGCCTTATACGGAACATAAAAGATAGAGAAATTGAGAGAAAGTTATTTCAATTTAACACTGAACAAGAGGAATAGAGATGAAGAGAGAATAGGAGAGAGAGAATGAGTCAGAGAGAGAGAAGGGGTGAAAGAGTGACGATTGTAATTGCCTCTATGTTCCTTCTTTTCCCTCTTTCAATTTATACACGTGGTCGATATTACCAAAATAGGTTGGTTCATGTGGACAATCCCACCCAAATCAGCAGCTCACAACATCCATGTATAGAGTTGTATGTTTGAAAGATGACGAGAGAGCAAATTACGTGATGCGTCAACAACCATGCATGCAACATGCAGTAAAGGAACGGAAAGAACAAGAAGAGAAAGAGAAGAAGAAGAAGAGAGAGACAGAGGTGAAGTTATTAAAGTAATTATTTGAAAGAGAGGAATGGAAGACTTCATGGCGAAAGAAAGAGTATGGACTAGTTAGTGGCGTGAAAGACGAAAAATAAACTAAGAAAAAGGTGCAGAGTGAGCAAGATGTGTTGGTAGCAGGAAAAAGGGAAGAAGCCGACCGACAACTGGTCTGTGTGGAATGCTTCCGGTCTGACCGTCTTCTTTTATTCGTTAATTCTCATGGAAGGCTCTTGCTTTTTCCTTTTTGCTTCTTCTTCGTCTTCGTTTCTCATTTGTTATTCAAGTAAATCGATCGATTATGCAAATGTTGAACAAATATAAAAAAATGGAGGGAGGGGGGGGGGGGGGGGGGGGGGGGGGGGGAAGTGTGAGAGAGAGAGAGAGAATACAATATGGTATGCGGCTAACAAGATAATTACTGGCTAAAAGGCGTTGAACGTTTATGGATACCATTATGGCTGTGAAAAGCTTGTTTATTGACCCGTTAAGAAGCTATGACCCTCAAGGCTTATGTAGATTCTTGAAGCACAATAAGCTTAGAAAGGACATTGAATGGATTACACTCGTAATGAACCATATTGATAACATCTTGATATATCGAGCTTGCAAAGGAAAAAACAATCTTCTGACATTCAAAGCGACACTAATGAAAATCACATTTTGAATACATAATTACGTGAGAATGACGTGAGAGTGTTCAAGTCGCCTTCACGGTGGTTGGCAATGTTTCAAACACGTTCGCTGACATACACACAGAGCGGTTGTGCATTTTCAAAATTTAGATTTTTCAATTTTTACTAAATTCTATATATGAGGGTCGACTATGCAAATGCTCAAAAGAATATTCTCGGAAATTCGAAATATATAGATGGGCGACCATAAATGTACACAACAGCTTCTTCAGCTGATATTATCCGTTTTTTTCTTCCTTCTCTCTCCAGCAATCATTTCTCATAACATCAAAACGGAAAGTATTGAATCGACGATGAGAGTATCGTTACCAGATAGATACATACACACACACATACATATAGGGAGAAGGGCAAAACGAAAATTGAATGACCATATGTGGTCAATAATACAATGAATATCTTAGAGTGCATGGCGATTTCAGAAAGCAGCAGCAGCATTGGAATAAAGAAGGTTAAGCTTCGGCTATTCTTTTTATGAAACTGAAATTAGTTTTCATCTAGCCTGGTAGTGCAAACTGAACGAGGGGGTGGAATATGAAGAGATTCAGTCCCTCCAATTCATTTTCCAATTGGAAAACGAACGAAAAAAAAATGAAAAAAAGCCGATCACGTGCAAGATGGTTATGTGCCATGCCAATTGCAAATAGATGAAGAAGACTGTTGCAAATCAATTTTAGAAACAAAAACGAAATAGTGGAAAATCAATATGAGAAATAGATGTAACTTAATGAAAGCAGTTGAATAAACAAGAAAAAAGTTCTTTGGAAAGCATCACAAATGATTCCAAACATAGTCAATAACAAAATGTTTGAGTAAGTCTTTGAAGAATTCAGTAAAACTCTCTGCCTTCTAATCGATTTCGACCAAGAAACTATTCTCGTTTAGTTGTTTCAAAAATTTAAAGTTTTCCAGCACTTTGTAGGGGATAAAATCTGGAGGGAGATGGATAGAGAGAGAGAGAGAGAGAGAGAGAGAGGGAGGGTGAGAGGGGAAGGAAGGAAGATAGCAGGATATAGAGACTCTTAGGGGAAGAGCTAGAAATAAGGATGTTATCATGTAATGAAAAGAAATATTTTTGAAGGAAATGCAAAAAAAACATTGAAGCGGAAATGATATGGTGGTTAGGAAGGAGAGAGAGAGAGAGAGAAGAGGAAGATGGGTGGGGAGAAGCTGGCAAGTAATTGGAAAGCTGAAGCAAAAAAAAGAAAATCAAAAATCAATATTCAAATTAGGACATAGTCATGGTAATTATAGTGGAAGCCATCTAATTATATATATATAAAAAGTGAAATCATAACAATATAATTATTTACTTATATCATGTTACTAATCGAACATGACAACTGACTATTCAATGAGGGGAAAGAACGAGGGAGTTGAGCTAAAGATACTCAGCTTCTTTTCCTTATACAACCAGCTTGACTTCAGCTCTCCATCTCTCTTATTTCAATTCTCTTCTTTCTCTATCTCTCCCTCTTTCTATTTCACTCAACTAACTCTCTATTTCATGTACACTCTGTATCTTTTCAGCTTTCGCAAAGGAAAATGAGAGGGAGCGAAAGAGAGAGATAGAAAGCAGAAACATCGATTGTAGACAAAATGAGAAGCCAAGCCAGACGGCATGTGGCACGCCTATTCTCTCTGACTGCATGGATAATTTGAGAAAATGTGTGACTGCAAACAAAAGATGTAAAAGGATAAGCTTCTATCAACAGCTATCCATCTAACGCCTTCTTCTACTACCAACTTGAAGCTTCTTCCTCTTCGTCTTCTTCTCCTTCTACTTGAACTTTGTAATGCAATTGAAAATGCGCAGCTCATATATGTAAACTATCAAATTATAATTTCCTTCATAGATTATAATTTACATATGTGAATCGTTATCCCTGTTATAGCCTCAGGAAGCTAATTAACGAAGCCGAGAGACGCAAATCTCATTGCACCAAATTCGTTAAGAATAGCATCATGAAATTTGAATAATAGCTCTAAAGCATTTCCAATTTATACATTTCTATCGGCTTTCCAATAAAATGTCAGAGGAGAAGTCAAATGTTGTGCTGTGATGCACATCACAACTGATACAAGGCCTGGAGTTGTGACGCTGGACGAGATGAAGAACTATTTGAAACTTTAGCGGGATGTTCTACAGCCATTGAAGTGAGTGAAGGAGAGTAGTTGGCGGCGGCGGCGGCGACTGCTTGGAACAACGAACACACACGAACTTCATTAGAAATTCATAAAAATATAATCTATATATTTGTATTAATCTCTATGAAACGAATCATTTATAATCAAACTGTGAGGAAAGACAGCGTATTAAGAAAGTGATTATGATTAGAAAGGCCCAAGATAAATAAATGGAATGCAGAGGAACAAGAGCAGCAAAGCACCAGAATAGAATTTAAAATGCAAACAAGTTTAACTCAAACTCAAAACACTCAACTGTCAGCGAATCAATTTTGCGATTGTTGCTTTCGCTTTTTAATGATCTCTGCAAGTTGCTTAAAGCGAGCCAAGCATTGCTCCTTGTCCTTTCCTGGAACAGCTTCTGATATCCGTTCCCATCTGTAACGGTTCGGATAACTAACACGATTAGTATCATTAACGAACCTCTCATCAGTTCCCTTGGGAAACTGTTTCAACGCTATTTCGAATAGCTTCTGATCTTCCTGTGACCAATCTCCGGTCTGTAAAGTAAAGTACTCATTCATTCGTATATGCTCAACAACGTTTTTATGGGGGAAACAGAAAACACTATCTCTCGATCATTACTAACTACTATCAACTCGTTTTCTCATTTTAGCTACTACTCCGAACTTAGCCGTCGGTAGTTCCTAGTTCATTCGGACAGTTCATCCGAACTTAGAGGTGTGAGTTTCAATTTCATTCCTGAGGCTATTCCGCACTTAGCGGTGGTGCATTAAGTTTTCATTTCTGGTTTCTGGGTTAGCGATCGTACACGCTTCTTCATTTCATTAAAGTTCAAACATAATTAAAAGAAGAAACATACGGATGGTGAATTAGCAGAAACGACAGGAACCACAGATTCTGACTGTTGACCTTGTAGCAGTTTGCTATAATCTTCCTTAAACATTACTTCATTAAGTGAATGGCATGAGGCTCAAACTTGTTTCATATTCTTCAGTTTGCCAGCCATGGCAGTAACATCTTCGGCGTTCCTATTCAAGGCTCTACCAATCAAATCCCATCGTGAAGGCGTTCCTGAGTTAATTAATTAAGAAGAGCATTAGTTTATAAGCAATACCTGGAGGAAATTTTTCGGAGCTCAGGCGGATGAGTGAAGATAGTTCTTCGAATGACCACCCTTCTCCAGCGCTCTCTGAAGATTCAGAAAACTAATCGAGATCTCGAGGTTAAAAACATACTCAAAGCAGTCATCTCAGCTTCTTTTTTGTATTTCTCTTCAAGTTTAGGATCATTCATAGTCACAGCTTTGACATCTTTAGCCACTTCGAAGTGGAACTCTACTTTTGGAGCAGCAGCAGGACGCTTCTTCACTACAACAGTCTCTTCCTGGAAGATGATGGATGTTCTGATAATTCCTTAAACAGCACTTACCTCAACAACTTCTTCCTTCTTCATTCTATTCTGTATTTCCTCAAAGACTGCCTGAACAGAAAGCAATTGCTTGGAAAAGCGCTGTAGAACAACTGACCTTTGTTAGGTTAATTGCTAGGTGCACAAGAAGAAAGGGAAGCAAATTATAAACGTTTGGGAGATGCTCCAGCATGGCTTGATCGAACATTTTTTTGTTTTCCTCTTCTGATTCACTGGCTTTTTTCTTTTTAGATTTTTTAATAGTCTGGAACAGGGGGATGAGCTCGTCACAATGGTCGAACGAACGACTTACCTGTGACAGTACTAACTTCTTCTCATAATAAGAAGCCCACATCATACAATAATGAGCTATTGTGGCAACTAATAAAAGGACTAGTAATGCTTCCCACCAGGAGAACTTTCGCATTTTTCTGGAATTCATCATTGAATGATAAGCTCATGATCATCCTTACCTGTAGTAATAAATAGGTTGACGCCAATCAGGCAATCCAAATTCTAATACATTATCATACTTCTCACGAAGCTCTGTGGATTTTAAAATTTCATAAACAGCTACTACCTGAACAACACAAATATGAATAGGAAGAGAAACAAGAACCTCCTTACATTCCTAAATGTTACAGTGGCATCTTCTGCATGGTTACGATCAGGATGATACTCCAAACTAAGTCTACGATATGCTTTCTTGATTTCACCCAGAGTAGCATCCTTAACAGAGAAAACAATAAAAGAATATACAATTTGAAAGAACAAACCTTTTTTATACTAAAGAAGTCATAGAAGTTACTGCCTAGGTCTTCAATAAGATCATACATGGCAAGCTCTTCTGATGACCATGAAGCCAAGACTGAGGAGCATAACGCCAAGCATATCAATGATTTGTATAAAATCATTGAATTATACTCCTAAAAAGAACATAAATTGATTTGCGTGAAGGAAAAGCTGAATAAACATGAAAGAAAAAACAAAACGAATGTTCATTGGTATGTTATGATAAAGAGTAATACGTGAAGAGAAGTGTTGTTTCTAACAATCGTCTAACTATGGATAGTTAGATGAACACTTGGCTTAGTGAGGCCAATATGACAAGAGATAAGAATGCAATCAGATAATGAATATTCAATGAAATCACAGCTTTTGTTTTCTTCTTCTACGAGCTTGCTCCTTTCTCATCGCTTCTTCCATATACCAAACTTCCTGCAAAGCATTGTGGTTGACGAAATCATTACGAAAACCTTCGAACCATTGGTTGAGAATCGGTTTTCTTAGAGTGTTGATCAAGATGCTCTTCATGAACAACTTTGAAATAACTGGAATAGGGAGTATTGATGAGTTCTATGGTGATTACAACGTACCGGTAGATGAGCTTGGCTATGTTGAAGCAGATTACACCTGTTAATCCTATCAATACCATATAGAACGAAGTGGGGCTCGGCTCATTTGTCTCATTATTTCTCAAAATTCGAATAGCCATTTAGAGATAAACAAACAAATGAGTTGGTTGGTTGGTTTTTTATGCGAACGGCTCGGAAGCTCATTAGCATATTGGAAGAGGACGCCGCGAATGAGTTTGAAACACTTGAAACGGGGAATTAGCATAACGTGGGAATTAACGTGATCAATTAGCATACAGTAAAGAGCGTCATAATTTCATTTTCATTTGTTTGTTATCATCATCACCGGTTAGTTCTGTCTTCTGAATCTTCTGAGGTATCTGCAGAAAGCAAGAAGATTCTATTCTTCCATTGCTATTCTTCAGATATGCTTTCGGCAGTTCCAAAGTGTTTATGAGAATGTTGTATCAAAGGAAAGGCTGTTGGATCAGTCAGAGGTACGTTCGCATTTTCTTTCATATTGTTGTTATTTGTTGTTGTTGTTGTTGTTGTTGTTGTATAACATTGCTTTATTCTTTGCCACGCAGTTCTTTTCTTCTCCCTTTCTGTAGATTGAATTAGATTTCGAATAAGTTGCTAGTTCGAAGCTTTATACTGGACTCTTCATTTTGTGGTTACAAAGAAAGAGAGAGAGAGGGAGAGAGCGGGACGAAATAGTATTAGAAAGAAAAAATATTCTTTAGCTTATGATGCTAAAAGGGTGATTGAAAAACAAGTTGTTACTTATGTTTTCTAGCTTTTCCTTTTAAGTAATTGATTAGAAAATCTAAATGACGAAAGCTGTTCATTGTCCTCATTCATTTCATTGGCTTTTAGTAACTAAAGAGCTGAACAGATGAAATTATGAAATTTGAAATGAAGAAAAGGAAGGACGAGCCTATAGAGGGAGAAAGGAGAAAGAGTATAGAGATGAAGCAAACCATATATCTCAAAGAGAGAGAAAGAGAGAGAGGGAGATGAAGATATTTTTGGAAGAGAATAGATAGATCTCTGAATAGAAATATAAAAAGAGAGGCTTTAAAAAGAGAATGAGAGAGGGTGAGAATAAAAAAAGAGGGAACGTTCAATGCCATTGTCTAACAGATTCTTCAGAATCTTCAGCCATCTTCTGGTGAGAACAGACGACGCGGTTCGTAAATCAGTCACGCAAATCCGTCACCTTTTAAAACTCTTTTGATGTTTTCCGAGCATTGCCTACCGTCTGCTTTCATCTCCTTTTGTATGAATTGTCCTATTCAGCTTGCAGATGATTCGTTCATTTCATTTTTAAGAGCTTCTTCTGCTTCTCCTTTTTCTTTTCTCTTTTTTTTTCATTTGAAAAAAACTTCTCTCAGAAATCTTTTTTTTTGTTCGTTTCAAAATCATTTCTGATTGTCCTCATTCCATTTTAATGAAAGTTGTGTGTGAGAGAGAGAGAGAGATAAAAAAAAGGAAAACAAAACAGATAAAAGGTTTCGGAGGGTAATGATGTTCGTTTTAAGGCCCTTGGGAAGAGAAGAGCTTAGCTGAATGACCTCTTCCTAGCTGAAACATTGAAAGCTTTTAATGCCCACAAGTTTTTTCCCACTAACTAAGTCAATTTGAATAATCCTTTCCCCTCTCCCTATCAGATCTTTTTTGAGACTTCTTTACCAACTGACTATAGAGAGAATAGAATTTTGACTCACACAACGACGCTGTCTCGTATCTTTCGTTAAAAAACAGAAAAAGCAGGGAGTTCACTCTCTCTACCTCCCTTTCTCTTCCTCTCCCTCTCTCTCTTAATATCAGATGAGAAGCTTATTGATGGTAACATCTTCAAATAACTTGATTAACTAAAGCTTCTTCTCTCGTTTTCACATTTATCATTCCATTTTTTGGCTTCGTAATTGTTTATTTAAAAACATTAGTGGACGCATTAAAGGGGGATTCTGAAGATGATCTTATGCGTTCAAGTGTCATCCAATAAGAACATCATTAATTGATGTTCTTCCTTAATTGGCCATTTCGTAGGAACATGTTAAAAAGCATCTTAAGCTTTACTCCTTCTCTCTATCTATCTCCCTCTCTAGCTATCTCCCTCTCTAGCTAACTCCCTCTCTCTCTCTCTCTCTCTCTTTCTTTCTCTCTTTATCCAGATTATTATATAGTGCGGTAAATAACATTTTTTTGATTTGTAAGAAAAGAAATGATGTGAATGAGTTGAGTTGTGTATGTATAGGAGGGTGAGAGAGAGTGTTGTCGGCTGCAAGTAAAAGCTTCATCTATAGGTGGCATATGTAATGAATAAAACAATACCATTTAAGCTAATTATTCTATAAGATCAAATGTACATTTTTATTGTATTAAAGAATATATTTAACTAAACGGTACATTTGAAGCTTATAATCTTAAGAAAAAGCCGAAACAATTAAGTTGCGGTGAGGTGAGATGAGGTTGGGAGGTTGGAGAGAAGGCGCGCATGTGCATGTGTTCTTGGTGGGTCGCTTATTGTTCTTCAGATGTCACAGGTGGAATACAGAAGTAGTTTGTATGTCTGCCATTCAGCTTGTAACCAGCCGTTGTTAGATTCTAATTTATATATATTTTCATATACTATATATAATACATTACATATGTATATACACCTTGACCATCTAGATAGGTTATGAATTCAATTGGGCAACTTAATTTTCAATTTGTCTCTCATTACAACTCTCTTTTCATATCTCATAATGATCTCTTCATGTATAGTTCATTATCCTTCATCTCTCACTTTTTCTGTTCATGTTGCATAAAGGGAAGTATGAAGAGTTCTGATTCATAACCAGAACGTCACGGGCCTATAATTAGAGAGACGAGAACCGTCCAACAGGCTCTTCTTTCAATTTGTTGTTGACAAGGTACTACTTCATATTCTATTTTTTATTTTATATACATGTATTTGTATGAACATCCATATATGGAAGGATGTTTCATTCATCCATCGTTATCGTAGTTCTTGATGATGCTTTAAGCTTTTCCTCTTTTCCGATTCATTTTGCAGCTTCATCTCTTCATCTGAATAGTTTCCTTTATTTCATTTTCTAACCTTATATATCAAGACGTATTTTTATGTTCTTACGCCAAACAGCTGGTCAGCTTTTCCTTATTGAGTCGGTTCTCTCAGTTAATCCATTTAATCACTGGACACCTTTGACCCGATTTCTCCAAGCTTTTGCATTTCAATAGAAATGCTTTGTTCAATCTAGTGGAAGTAATATATTCTTTTTAACATAAAAAAATATTTTTCTTCTTCGGCTTCTCAGGCTCATTCCTCATCTTCTATTGACCATCAGAATTCATTGAAAGTTGGCTATTGCGTATTGCATCATCATTTTACAGTCTTCCACTTAAGCTTACATCTGATGACTGACGTCGGCAGTCTTTTCATTCTTATATATTAATTTATGCAAATTTATCAGCTTTGATCTATATGATATAGTAGTAAAGAGTTAGATACTTGAAGCTATTCATGTTCATATCTGCTCTCTATTGGATGTTGTCGTTAAGCCATCTACCATGCAAAGCTTCTGGCATCAATCCAGTGATTTGGGATGTCTATGATGAATAATTCGTTTTATTACATATAGTATTCTTCATCTAATATTAATATAATTATATAAGAATTCAGGCCAATTAGATAGGCTCTGTATGTGTATCGTTGTCACTTCTGACCTCAAGAAGCATTGATGGTTGACCGTCTGTATGGCACATTCTCTTATTCAACATACAAGCTAAATGAATGCTGTTGGGAAGGTCATCTGTGCTTCATCTGACATTGAGAGCAATAAAAACTATTTTGCTCCTTTCAAACATACACATACATATATATACACCAAAATCTCATTATGCTTGTTAATTTTTGTACAAATGACCATTCTATTGCTCATCATTACAATCGTTTAATCTTCAACGTCAATCCGTCACGGTCATCGACGACAATCGTTTGTGCCCGCCAAATATTTTGTGAGCCTTCTGAAGAAGCAGCAAAAAGCTCACAAAGAAACTTTTTGACACAAAAATGTTAAGATGAATGTTGATGATGAAGCTTCATCATCATCATCATCATCATCATCATCATTTTCTCTATTATTATTATTATTGTGTGTGTGTGTGTGTGTGTTGAGTTTAAGAAAAGCATTTGCTGCTCCATAGTCGATGGATGATGGACCAGCATTTCATTTTATACAACTGATTGATGATGAATGAGTCTGTCAAGTCTGTCAAACAGTTCATTTACTTTTCTTTTATTGAGCTTTTAATCAATTCAGAATCTTATGACCTATTCATATTAGTTGACCTTTTTCATGATTTGTCTCCTTTTCTTACTTACGCATGCAAATTGCTTAGAATACTAACACCTGCTTATACAACCTAAACCCTTATCATGTACGACGTAATATCGTATAGCATCTTGCTCATGTTCTTCATCCTGATAACCCATTTCTCTCACAAGGAAATTAATCTTTAGTTCTTTTTTTTCATTAAAACTTAATTGA